AAAATCAACTTTGTCGCAGGGCCTTCAAATTTGGTATACAGGGTCCTTGAAGAATGCCCTAGTGCGGAGTAGAAGCATAGCTCTCTAACTTTCATAATAAAAAAGTAGCAAGTTTTCACCTGCTTTTCTGTCGTTGCGGTACCTTTGATATCAAATAATCTCGATCTAGTACCTCCATTGACTGGAGATCGAGAAAGTTCTTGCTATCATTTCAGCGATCTATTTTCAATTTTCGATCGCAAATATCTCGATAACCAAAAGAGATAAAGACAAACGGACTTCAGATTCTTGTTCAGCACATCAAGAACACCCTGTATGCAAGTTTTCAGCCCATTCTGATGCCTCGAGTTAGATGAAAAATGTTCAAAGGGGTTAACCTTGTTTATTTTTCAGACCAAAAAATCAACTTTGTCGTAGGGCTTCCAAATTTGGTATACAGGGTCCTTGAAGAATGCCCTAGTGCGGAGTAGAAGCATAGCTCTCTAACTTTCATAATAAAAAAGTAGCAAGTTTTCACCTGCTTTTCTGTCGTTGCGGTACCTTTGATATCAAATAATCTCGATCTAGTACCTCCATTGACTGGAGATCGAGAAAGTTCTTGCTATCATTTCAGCGATCTATTTTCAATTTTCGATCGCAAATATCTCGATAACCAAAAGAGATAAAGACAAACGGACTTCAGATTCTTGTTCAGCACATAAAGAACACCCCGTATGCAAGTTTTCAGCCCATTCTGATGCCTCGAGTTAGATGAAAAATGTTCAAAGGGGTTAACCTTGCTTATTTTTCAGACCAAAAAATCAACTTTGTCGTAGGGCTTCCAAATTTGGTATACAGGATCCTCGTGTAATGCCCTAGTGCGGAGCAGAAGCATAGCTCTCTAACTATCATAATAAAAAAGTAGCAATTTTCACCTGCTTTTCTGTCGTTGCGGTACCTTTGATATCAAATAATCTCGATCTAGTACCTCCGTTGAGTGGAGATCGAGAAAGTTCTTGCCATCATTTCAGCGATCTATTTTCAATTTTCGATCGCAAATATCTCGAGAACCAAGTGAGATAAAGACAAACGGAATTCAGATTCTTGTTCAGCACATCAAGAACACCCTGTATGCAAGTTTTCAGCCCATTCTGATGCCTCGAGTTAGATGAAAAATGTTCAAAGGGGTTAACCTTGTTTATTTTTCAGACCAAAAAATCAACTTTGTCGTAGGGCCTTCAAATTTGGTATACAGGGTCCTCGTGGAATGCCCTAGTGCGGAGTAGAAGCATAGCTCTCTAACTTTCATAATAAAAAAGTAGCAAGTTTTCACCTGCTTTTCTGTCGTTGCGGTACCTTTGATATCAAATGATCTCGATCTAGTACCTCCATTGACTGGAGATCGAGAAAGTTCTTGCCTTCATTTCAGCGATCTATCAGACTTTTTTTTGTCAATTTTCGATCGCAAATATCTCGATAACCAAAAGAGATAAAGACAAACGGACTTCAGATTCTTGTTCAGCACATCAAGAACACCCTGTATGCTAGTTTTCAGCCCATTCTGATGCCTCGAGTTAGATGAAAAAATGTTCAAAGGGGTAAACCTTGCTTATTTTTCAGTCCAAAAAATCAACTTTGTCGTAGGGCCTTCAAATTTGGTATACAGGGTCCTCGTGTAATGCCCTAGTGCGGAGTAGAAGCATAGCTCTCTAACTTTCATAATAAAAAAGTACCAAGTTTTCACCTGCTTTTCTGTCGTTGCGGTACCTTTGATATCAAATGATCTCGATCTAGTACCTCCATTGACTGAAGATCGAGAAATTCCTCATCATTTCAGCGATCTATTTTCAATTTTCGATCGCAAATATCTCGATAACCAAGTGAGATAAAGACAAACGGACTTCAGATTCTTGTTCAGCACATCGAGAACACCCTGTATGCAAGTTTTCAGCACATTCTGATGCCTCGAGTTAGATGAAAAATGTTCAAAGGGGTTAACCTTGCTAATTTTTCAGACCAAAAAATCGACTTTGTCGTAGGGCTTCCAAATTTGGTATACAGGGTCCTCGTGGAATGCCCTAGTGTGGAGTAGAAGCACAGCTCTCTAACTTTCATAATAAAAAAGTACCAAGTTTTCAGCTGCTTTTCTGTCGTTGCGGTACCTTTGATATCAAATGATCTCGATCTAGTACCTCCATTGACTGGAGATCGAGAGAGTTCTTGCCATCATTTCAGCGATCTATCAGACTTTTTTTTCAATTTTCGATCGCAAATATCTCGATAACCAAAAGAGATAAAGACAAACGGACTTCAGATTCTTGTTCAGCACATCAAGAACACCCTGTATGCAAGTTTTCAGCCCATTCTGATGCCTCGAGTTAGATGAAAAATGTTCAAAGGGGTTAACCTTGTTTATTTTTCAGTCCAAAAAATCAACTTTGTCGTAGGGCCTTCAAATTTGGTATACAGGGTCCTCGTGGAATGCCCTAGTGCGGAGTAGAAGCATAGCTCTCTAACTTTCATAATAAAAAAGTAGCAAGTTTTCACCTGCTTTTCTGTCGTTGCGGTACCTTTGATATCAAATGATCTCGATCTAGTACCTCCATTGACTGGAGATCGAGAGAGTTCTTGCCATCATTTCAGCGATCTATCAGACTTTTTTTTCCAATTTTTGATCGCAAATATCTCGATAACCAAAAGAGATAAAGACAAACGGACTTCAGATTCTTGTTCAGCACATCAAGAACACCCTGTATGCAAGTTTTCAGCCCATTCTGATGCCTCGAGTTAGATGAAAAATGTTCAAAGGGGTTAACCTTGTTTATTTTTCAGACCAAAAAATCAACTTTGTCGCAGGGCCTTCAAATTTGGTATACAGGGTCCTTGAAGAATGCCCTAGTGCGGAGTAGAAGCATAGCTCTCTAACTTTCATAATAAAAAAGTAGCAAGTTTTCACCTGCTTTTCTGTCGTTGCGGTACCTTTGATATCAAATGATCTCGATCTAGTACCTCCATTGACTGGAGATCGAGAGAGTTCTTGCCATCATTTCAGCGATCTATCAGACTTTTTTTTTCAATTTTCGATCGCAAATATCTCGATAACCAAAAGAGATAAAGACAAACGGACTTCAGATTCTTGTTCAGCACATCAAGAACACCCTGTATGTAAGTTTACAGCCTATTCTGACGCCTTGAGTTTGGTGAAAAATGTTCAAAGGGGTTAACCTTGTTTATTTTTCAGACCAAAAAATCAACTTTGTCGCAGGGCCTTCAAATTTGGTATACAGGGTCCTTGAAGAATGCCCTAGTGCGGAGTAGAAGCATAGCTCTCTAACTTTCATAATAAAAAAGTAGCAAGTTTTCACCTGCTTTTCTGTCGTTGCGGTACCTTTGATATCAAATAATCTCGATCTAGTACCTCCATTGACTGGAGATCGAGAAAGTTCTTGCTATCATTTCAGCGATCTATTTTCAATTTTCGATCGCAAATATCTCGATAACCAAAAGAGATAAAGACAAACGGACTTCAGATTCTTGTTCAGCACATCAAGAACACCCTGTATGCAAGTTTTCAGCCCATTCTGATGCCTCGAGTTAGATGAAAAATGTTCAAAGGGGTTAACCTTGTTTATTTTTCAGACCAAAAAATCAACTTTGTCGTAGGGCCTTCAAATTTGGTATACAGGGTCCTCGTGGAATGCCCTAGTGCGGAGTAGAAGCATAGCTCTCTAACTTTCATAATAAAAAAGTAGCAAGTTTTCACCTGCTTTTCTGTCGTTGCGGTACCTTTGATATCAAATGATCTCGATCTAGTACCTCCATTGACTGGAGATCGAGAGAGTTCTTGCCATCATTTCAGCGATCTATCAGACTTTTTTTTTCAATTTTCGATCGCAAATATCTCGATAACCAAAAGAGATAAAGACAAACGGACTTCAGATTCTTGTTCAGCACATCAAGAACACCCTGTATGTAAGTTTACAGCCTATTCTGACGCCTTGAGTTTGGTGAAAAATGTTCAAAGGGGTTAACCTTGTTTATTTTTCAGACCAAAAAATCAACTTTGTCGCAGGGCCTTCAAATTTGGTATACAGGGTCCTCGTGGAATGCCCTAGTGCGGGGTAGATGCACAGCGCTTTAGCTTTCATAATAAAAAAATGCAATTTTTCACCTGCTTCTATTTCCTTCGCGGAAATAAATGGATTTTCAGATCCTTGTTCAGAGCATCATAACACCCTGTATACAAGTTTTATCCTATTCAAACAGTAAAAAAATAAATGAAACAATTTCATGATTAAAACATTTGGTATAATAATAATAAAACATGTAATAAAAATACTAGGATATAAATATTTTTGGTCACCAAAGTAGATCACTTTCATAATAAATATAACCAGAAATAAAATAGAATACTCATCGCATGATAGAGAACTAGAAAAATTTGCATAAACCTTAAAACTAAAATTACTTAACATAATCAAATAGGCCGCCAAAACAGCTCGTCCAAAACGCCCAATATCACAATATTTTTTCATGATTTTCATAATTCCTATAGATTTATCATGTTATGGAGTTGAAGTAAATGGGTTCAACAACCCATAGTTGCTATTGAACCAGTTTTAAATCGGTCCACAATTTTTTTTTCATCTACAGAATAATTGACAGACTACTGAAAAACATTTTTTCTCCAAAGGGCATAGAATAGAAAGTGGCTTTTCTATATGACACTTAGGAAAAGTGTAGTTACTCTCTAGGTCCTAGTAATTTGAATGAAATTGGAAATCAAAATTGACAATAACTAATAGGTTTTATAGCATTTGGAGAAAAAATTACGCTCGGCTATGAACTATCAGGCGCGACAGTCAATCTACTACTTTGCTGCCTAGTAAAACAAATAACTTTATCGACAAATTCAAGGCGCTTTGGACGTATTCCATTGGTACACATAGGTAGGCGTATTTCAGGAGAAAAGAAATATATGCATTAACTGCCTTCTTTCTCAATCAATAAGTTGTTTTTTTCATTATCCATTAGTTGCTGAATAAATAAGTATTTACATCCAGAGCGATAAACAGACGTAACCAAATAACAATATTTCAAAAAATAAATAAAATACGATAAGAACTAGGCTGATATGTATAAACAATGAGACGAATACATTCAAGTATAATAAAAATAGTAAAAATCTATTTAAGGCAGGTATTATATGCTGCTAAATATGGACAGTCTCTTTGGTCTGTTCCTTCCTGGCCTGCCATCGTTGGACAGGCGGAATCGCGAAAAGAATTAGCCCGCTGAGGCATATCGCCACGCCGGCAAGGCAAAACGCTGGATCATACGAGCCCGTCCAGTCATAAAGGCTCCCTGAAAATTACAAAATACCGGGTGACCAGTTATATTCTGACCCATTTCAAATGCTTATATCTCTGAAACCATTCAAGTTATCGTTGTGCAGTTTGGACTAGTCTATTTTGATATTTTTCAAGTTTTTTTTTGACAGGCTCACCTTTTCTCTTGAACATCCGGTTTTACCGGAAACAAAGCAGCCATTATTCAGGTATAGGGCAACTTTTTTATTTCATTGAATCACCCTGTATATTTTTGCACTTTCAGAAAGACTGGTCTTTTCTCTTTCTAACAATGTATAACAAGTTATGCTTTCTTAGAAAACTATCAGAGTTGTAACTGTTTGAAACAACTACTGCATGTGGAATGGTTTAATGAGATTTTGCAATGTAACCAAAGTCGTCTTTGGAAATCCTGATCACAACACATGAAATGCCAGATTAGATGTGTCAAATAAAAATTGTCGGGCATTTGTACTTTCTTCGAGTTGAGAAAATGTTTACTTTGACTGAAAAAGCAAATGAACTCATCATAAATCTGCATCAGATTTATACTTACTCAATATACGGTAATTCAGCATTTCAGGATAACATCCTAATATGCAGTAGATGCTTCAAAGAGTTATAACTCTGATAGTTTTTTAAGAAAACATAACTTGTTATACATTTTTAGGAAGAGAACAGACCAGTCTTTCTGAATGTGCAAAAATATACAGAGGGTGCTTCGATGAAATAAAAAAGTTGCCCTATACCTGAATAATGGCTAGTTTGTTTCCGGTAGAATCGGATGGTCAAGAGAGAAGGTGAGCCTGTCAAAAAAAACTTGAAAAATATCAAAATAGACTAGTCCAAACTGCACAACGATAACTTGAATGGTTTCAGAGATATAAGCATTTGAAATGGGTCAGAATATAACTGGTCACCCGGTATATACTTTTCGATGACTATCCAATGACAAAATAGTAATTTACGTAACAAGTCCGGAAAATACTGTTTTTTTGAACGAATAGACGAAATTCTAGTCCTGGAATTCTGAGAGTTCAAAAAAATTGTTTTTGGACGTGTTGCGTACACAATTTTTTCTACTACCTACTACTATGAAAAGTAGCGCATTTCTCATAGCTAACTTAGTTTCAAAACCATGTATTGCTCATACTGTGAGAAATATTTTTTCTCATGGCACTTTGTCAACACCACATACATTTCCATGGAGAATCAACAAAAATCGACCAAAAGTTGGCTGCTGTTCAGCTTTGAATAATTGCTACAACTGTCAGAAGAAGTTTTTTAAATTCTGTAGGGTAGTTCTCATTCGTGCTTTTGATAGAAATCGCATTTTCCATCAAATATTATTCCAACAATTTAAAATAAATAATATGATGTATATACCGAGATGTGACGATTTTGATAAATTAACCACCAGAGACTGCGAAAGATGGATTTGTTTCCGGAAATTTCAAGAAAAAAGTATGAATTGGCATATACGAAAAAATGAAACCTAAAAAAATACAGAAATAATTTTTTTTTGGAAAGTTTACATTTTTGAAATACTTTGAGGAACTAGGAAAGGCGTACTAGTTAACCTGAACTTGATACTTGAAGAGATGTGTTCCTGTGATTTGCAGTGTCTATCCAATCCGCGAGGCAAATTTTTCAAATCATTATATCCTAATCGCCCCCAACATGATGACTTATCGGTTGAAAATAATACGCAATACCAACAAAATAGCTTATTCCTCACCCCAGATCCCGTTAACCAGATATATTTTTTATAATTATCAGAATTGAACGAACGATTTTGTTTGTTACCTGTTACAATCAGATTTTTTAATACCGGTGTCGTACGTTTGTTTTTCACAATCAATTTATCTTCATAAGACAAAGCACTGAATGGGTTCACCAAAAAGTATTCCACTAAATCGCAATCGTTTAAAACACTCATTTTTCAGTGATTCATAGAGCCCCTAAACATCAACCTAACATTAACATAAACAATGCACTCGCGCTGGATTGTCCTCAATTCGCGACGCGACACGACAAACACGTGCTATTTGGTTCGGGCGTATTCGAGCATTTGCATTGCGTGCGTGGGTTGCGCATTATGAAGGAGTCTAGCCTCTTATAGATGTTGCCAAGTTGAATATTTTACGCGTGATTTGCAGACTTCAACGTGTGATGCGTGGGCAAGCACTGTTGTCAATTCAAAAATATTTACCTAAGAACAGGAAATAAAATCAAAATCCATTTATTTTGGTGTCCTTTTAATGAGAAAGTATAGATAATATCAGTTTATGGAGAATCTCTGAGGAGGCTCAGCCTCCGTTGCCTCCTCTGAGGAGCCGCCACTGCTCGTTATCAAATCGCAAAATCAAGTGCAAATTCACGGGCATTAGAGTGCATCCCACTAAGCAAAGTTGAAAGCTATGTTGATGCAATGTTGAAGCAATTACTGAAAAGGACGTTCAGCAATATTGCAAAGGGGAAGTTTAATAATGTAGCCTTGCAGCAATATTACATGTTGCTCTGACATTGCTGGAACGTTACATTTACAAATTTACATTTGCAATATTGCTGAACGTCCGTTTCAATAATTGCTACAACCTTGCATCAACATAGCTTCTAAATTTGCTTTGTGGTCAATTTTTCAATAATTTTGCTCAGGATAGTGATTGGCATATAGGTGCCTTTCGATATACTACAATCTTTTTACATGCCTCTGGGACTTATATCGTTTCGTTCTTGGACTATTATCACGACAAAAGAAAAGGAAAAATTACCTCCGAGAGGCGGTCCGACCAACGAAGCGATGCCCTGAAACAAGAGCAGCAGGCCGAAGGCGTTGGTCAGTTTTTCGATTCCCAAAAGATCCACCAAAATGACGGAGGTGAGTCCGACGTACGCTCCGGCAGTCACGCCGAACACTGTGCTGTACACCGCCAGAGAATAGAAACTGCTAAGGAAGGCACTAATGACAGTGGCTGAAAGAAAAAAACAATCACTTATTTCAATTAATTATTATACTCAACAACTGTTGAAAGAATTGGTACTGAAATGATATTTCCCTTAGAGGGGCTCTAGAAACATCATTAGGAAGGCAAGAAAGAGTACAACGATCATCTTGTAACACGCATCAGCCTATTTCCGAACAGTCAATATATGTCGCGGTGACAAATAACGTGACAGAAGATTCTGGAATGTTCTGGAAACAATCGATAACAAACAAGAAAGAACAAAAAGGAGGGTACGGAAGATCATTCGAGAACTTGTCGAATCAAAGCCTACCAAGGGATCTCATATATATGGACGGCCAAACATCTGCAGTCAGTCAGTCGAGCAGCGAGTGTCAGAGAGACAGTCATATACCGCGTGATATAAATCGTTTTACATAAATAGTAGTTATAAGTTCGATATAAATTAGTGTTTCTTTAGTTCAAATAAATCAGTTCGAAAATAAATAGTGTCGTGTTCGCTTCTTCACCCGAATAACGTAACAGTACGTGTAGATCGAGGTGGATAGAATATGGTGTAATAACAGACAGTGTTTTGTTTCTCCCAAAGCGCTTGACCGCAGATTCCACAATAATGGCATATTAGTTCTCAGTTGCCCGCAAGATGGCGACACTTTTCACAAACTCCTTCATACATAGAACGGCTAGGCTCTGAAATTCATTGCCTGAGGAAGTATTCCCAACAACATTGTATAATCTCCAGACGTTCAAAAAAAATTCCAATACCTACCTCCTATCCCTATCCTTCCTAGGAACGCACGATGTTCTTTGAACATTATAGGGATTCCCTTTCGTGCACTCCAAGCGATAAAAAAAATGACAGAAAACAGTAAAATGGCGCTTACCCACCGCTTGCTCCAGAAATAATAATAGCATAACATTCATAACATAACCTCAAATCAAATGAGATTGAATTTCAAAATTTTGGTTGAGATTTCGCCATCTAACGGGTAAAATGCGACCTATATTCCGCGATAGTGAACAGGATCCTTCTGTCAAGTAGGCAGTAGGTCAAGAACTTTGCCGAAAAACAGTAGATGGGATTTGATAGGAGTTTCTACACCATCTTCTGTTCATCCTGGTGTAGATATTACTAACTTCATATGCCAAACGTTGGGAATAGTACCTACTTATAATCGGAACCGTATAGCGAAGATCTAACCGCTGCCCAGAAGTTATTCCAAAATTTATTGAATATTAGAAAAATTCACTGCATAGTCGCTCTGACATAAGAAAGCGATTTTCAAGTATCTGTAATGTATCTATACAATCACAGTACAATATTGACTCCTAAACAATAATTATAATCAAAACTGCAAAAATTCCCCTAGAATATATGTCACAATAATTTTTACCAAAACCTTTAATACATATTTCGGCAAACAAGTTGGCATCCTCTGTAGAACTGAAAGGATAATAAAGATTAGATGACTATTTTTTTGTATTTGATTATTTTCACGACCCCAAAACTTCACTCTATAATAATTTAATAAAAAAATTGAGAGATTCATGATGTGTACACAAATCTTCGAAGCTCTGAATGCCAATCTCTAATGAAAAATCGAATAACAAATTACATAAGTAATAAAGATAAGATATAATTTGAATAAAGCATGTACATTGTACATTTCCAAATCCTTATTTGATAATCAAACAATATCAATTTAAGAATGTTTATTCATAACAATAGAGATAAAAAGAAGAATTATTTACTCATTATAGCAGATAAATTGTCAAACATTTCCACCAACGAGGAAGAAATTACTTACAATATCACAACGAAACATTCTGCAATATTTCACCAGCTTCTGCTAGGAACATTGATTATAATAATAATAATAACATTTATTGATCCCAAGAGACTAGTGGATCAAGAAAAAATAACTCAGAGATTATACACTCAAACATGCAATACAATGAAAGACGTCGATTTTTATTTGCGGTTTTTTTTAGGACCCCGCAAATTTTTAAGGAAAATTGGGTCACGGTGGATATTTCTCAATTCTTGGTATGATGTAGTTCATGTGGTTCTATAAAATATTTTCATCGAGCCAAACCCCAAAACAGTTTTTTTGACAGGGGGGTTTGAATTTGAACTGTACTGCGGATCTTTTTTAAGGTGGTTGTGGGGTGAGAACCTCCCTAATATTTCCGAATGAAAAATCATGAAGGAATAATAGGAATACAATATTGAGAAAAGTTATTTTTCTATTCAGAATCAAATGGTAGTCTATTTTTTTTCAAAATGTGAATTGACAGAAAAACTGTACATTTTTTAGGATTGTCACCCGATGATTTTTTGATCAGAATCATATGGACATATGTTTATCAAAAATTCAGCGGAATTCACCGAATTTTTTTTCATTTGCACCCCCCATTTGGTGGATAGTAATAATGCAATAATGCGGTTTTCATAATTATCCGCGATGAAACGTTTCCTATCACTTTTGACAGTCAGATTTTTTCGGGTTTTGAAATAGGGGCTGGGAGTAATAATTCCCCCCCCCCATTATATTTTTTCATGAAGAATCTTTAGAAGTAATTAAATGGGATAAAAAGTTGCGGAATATCGTTAATTTTCTCAGAAATAAATGGCCAATTCGATCAAAATGTGAATTCAAATCCCCCTGTCAAAAAAACTGTCCATTTTTGGGGTTGGCTCGATGAAAATATTTTATAGAGCCACATGAACTACATCATACCAAAAATTGAGAAAAATCCACCGGGGCCCAATTCACCTTAAAAATTTGCGGGGTCCTTCCTCGAACAATAGAAAACAATTTTTTTTTCAAGCAAAGCTTTATTCAAAGTAAAAAAGTATTTACATAATTATTTACAGTGTTACCTAAATCTAATACATATACTATTCACAGTTCTCAACAAGAGTAACTCCTAAGCAACATACAGTGTGACCCACTTCTAATGAAACCTGAGGAACTACCCCCGTATCTCACGTAATTGACTTTATCTTTGGACTTTCTCTTCCTCCGGCAAATTTCAGAACCCTACCTCAATAATTACGTGAGATACGGGGGTGCTTCCATAAAAAATGCGACAAAATTTCATTTTTCTGAACTGAAATTTTTCCAGGAAAAATTTGGAAAGTTGGTAAATTGGGCGTCCTGATTCCAAATCTGAAGTGATTTTCGACCTATTTTGACTCCTAATATCATTTTCCGGCAATTGGGGTAGTTTCATGACTGTTGGCGAGCAGTGTATATCACTGAAGATGACCCCACTTGGTCATATAGTGCATTTTTGGTATATCTCTCGCTCCAGCAAATTTCAGGATCCTTACCCAACGATTACGTAAGATACAGGGGTGGTTCCATTAGAAGTTAGACAAACTGTATATGGTGTCAGAGTTCCGATTGTGTCCAATTTTTTATTTATCGCTTTATTGTAATTTGTCAATTTGTAAATAAGTGCTTCCTCAGGTTTACAGTGAATTTCTTCTCATTGCTTATACTTTTAATTGAATTTGAATATGTTTGCATTCCTTTGTTCACAGGGTTTCTTAAAGCTATATTTGTATTTTGAAGGTGAAGATTATTTCTGCTCCTAATTCATGAATGTCATTATTATACGTGATTGTAATGTTTGTTTTTATATTGTGGTGAAGAATTCTATGTACAAATTCACACTGTTCTAATTTGAATACAACATCGAGTTTTTGTATTTGTGATAGTTGGTACACCGAATTTGTATTTGTCCGATTCTGTAAGGAAAATAAGCTCTTAACCGCTTTATTTCGGAGTATTTGGCACCTATTTAATAATAATAATATTCGTTGGCGTAATTAAAACAATCAATGAAGGTTGAAAGAGGAAAAAAAAAGGTGTGCTCACCTGCCCCACAAATGGTGAGACTCCAATTGTAGACGTGCAGCCTGTTGATCCACGGCTTGTCCGACACGTAGCCCAACACGATCCTGCCGATCGTGTTGGCGCCCCCTATGATCGAGATCAACATGCCGGCTTTCTCTTTGGTCATGCCCAGCCCTCGGCCCTTCGACACCAGATAGACGTAGGGCACGTTGAAGCCGATGGAGGTCAAGAGATTGCTGGCGGAAAAGAGGAGGAAGACGACGTCCTTGAAGAGGGAGAAGTCGAGCATCTCGCGCAGTTCGTCGCTGCACGGGAAAATGCCGCATGCCTATGAATACCGCCATCATTAATTATTCAATCATATAAAATCTTCTCTCGAAGAATACTACTTATACAGGGTGTTGAAGACCACAACCTTACCACGTACTTCTCATAGTTTTGTTACAAGGAGATTAGGTAATTAACCCATAGTTTCCTTTGCAATAATTTGTTTATTATGCCAAATAGTTTTCTGAACCTTACGATGATTTTGTCATGTCATTTAGTTTGTATAATTTGTCACTGTCATTCAGTCTTGTCATGCTGTCACTGTCATTTGCTTACTTCGGCGATTCCTGGATTTCTGTCTTTCAATAGCCATCCAAGATGAAACTCAGTTGAGTGAATTTAAATAACTAATTTTTTTTTCGTGCCAATGTTGAACCTCATGATTATAAGGTTCTTTTGGCTGTTCAGCCGTTATAAAAATTTAATCACCCCCTTACCGGACTGATTATTCACGTTGAAATAACCTTGATATTTTATTTTATTTGTTGAATTTGTAATCACCACATGGCCTAGGTATGTTGTTTCCTCAGCAAACTTATTGTTCGTCTGTAATTTCATCTCTTACAGGTACTTTATTCAATTTGTGTCTGAAGATGGCTGTTTAGCCGAAACTAGTCACACTAGTAATCGTGTAATATAATTTTGTGGTCGACCGACTTGGAGTATTTTGTTTTTTCTTTGAAAAAATCTGGACCACTTTGAGAAGGATGGATGGTTTCCATGACTTGAGTAATTTTTATTGAACTCATAATTCAAAATCCAATTATTATTTCACAAAATAATAACAGTCTTCAAAGTTCCACATCATTGGAGTAAAATAGATAGATCTGTTCGTTCAACATAATAACGTCTGTGGTTTTGGAAATCTTTGAGGCTGTAAAGTAGGCTGTGCAAGAAAATCTGATAGTCTGACAGTTCATAATCACTAGTTAGTTATTATTGGTAACGTTAAGATAATTGTTGGTACATGTTTATTATTGGGTTGTTACATTTTAAAGTGTTTATAACTATGCCTCAACACAATAAACTTGATGTTCACACTGGTGATTATGATCTGTAAGAATTTTAAAATTTTTTGCACAGCCCAGTTCACCGCAGCTTATGGAAAAATAGTGAAGTATAAAATAAGTCCTCGAAAATTTTTAAAATTATTGACAAGCTATTCTGTCAAACGCACAAATCAATCAACAGTTCACCTGAATTGACTCAAATGAAGTTTAACTTTGAAGACAATTATTTTTTTGTACGGACCTGGATTCTGATCTCGATTTTCATTATAACCAGATGAAGATTTTGCCAAAATCAAGATAACGTCCTGTATTTCAGTTATAAAAGACGGTATAAACACATCAATGGGGGTGATTTGAAACCGTCAAAATGTCCTCTATCTGCCAGTATCGTATGTATATTTAAGTCTAAAACACCCTGTATTGTCTGCAACTGTTAAAAACACGTTGCCGTTCTAGATGAGAACCTCGAGATATAAAATTGTCTATTCATTGGAAACAATATGCTGAAATCGCCCTTAATGACCACAATTTTCAGTAAGCAAGTGTTAGAAACACTCCATCAGAGATACCCACCAAGTTACATTAGTTACTGGTATTATAGTATTATTATTATTATTATTATATATGTTGTGTGATTCAGTACCGTCACCCCGTATAATGTTCAGAATATCGACGGGTACTGGTTTTATGACTAATAAGATCTATTGAATGCATGATTAAGGAGTTACATAAGCTACATAAGAAAGGCACATACACAGGGAATAGTCAGGATGACCAGTATAGTTTAGACTATAGAGCTGTAAGGGTGTTGTCCAAGAATAAAAGTTGGTATTTGAAGACGTGGATATTATTATTTAAGCAGCTTTTCAGTGCACTAGTCTTATCTATAGTGGACTGTTTCGGAAGTGGAAAAATATTTGGCAGAACTCCTTTTCGTATCTGAACGTCTTGAACTCACCTTGTAGGGGGCATCTGAATCACCCTCGTTGAGGTCCGCACCGGAGGTGTGATGGTGGCGGCGCTTGTGGCTGAAAGTCGAATGACGACGTTCTAGGAAAGGGCCGTCTTCACCTTTGCGCAGGTTCAGTCTACAAATATCATTTCGAAATTTTACAACTCTGCATATTCAGAGGTAATCTCAAATGTGCAAGAGGTAGTTGGATAATTTCATATAAATCAAATTGCATATTTTTAAAGGAAAAAATAACCCAAGTCAAGGTTGATATTGCATGATTATTTGCATTTTTTTTACTTGTTATATCGTATTATTATTTCATAATTATTGTATGTATATTGTTTATGTATCCCTATTATAAACAACTATGTTTCTTGGGGTAATAAAGACAATCAATCAATCAAAGTCGTCCTCACCTCGACCTGTACGACGGTATGTTCATGAGGCTGCCCTGATAGAAAGCGTCCGGCCTATCGATGGGCCCGTGATGATGCCTCGTGCGCAAACTCTGGCTGCCGTACCGCCACACGGGCCGCCCGCCCTGCCCGCCCTCCGACTGCGTCAGCAGCACGGGCTGGCTGAGGGCGAGTCGGGCGGCCTCCGAGGTCTTCCGCTTCGCCGGCGCCGCGACGCCGTTATCGACGTGGGCCGTCGCCTGTTTGTTGTTGTTGTTGTGCTGTTGTTGTTGCTGGGTTGGGGGCAGGGAGAAGTGGCTGACGCTGTGCGGACGGTGCATGTTGTTGGCATCGGCGCCCGATGTGATGTCTGGCGAGGATATAACGAAAGGGGTTAGATTCTCGATCGAGGAATTGTAGGTAGACACATTTTATTCACTCAGGATGATTTTTACATTGGCAATATATTCTTTTTACCTTGTTACATTCTCACTACCGAGATCAATTGAGTTAGAATGAGGTGAGACGGATCTCAGTTGTCGATTGAATAAAAAGAACACCTTTTTGTCTGTCAGGAAGGGCAAGGGAAGAAAACATAACCCAACATAATTCAACCAAAATGTAAAATGGCTGAGGAAATTAATGAGGAGCATAGAAATATTATTGTATATTCGCGAAAATCACGAAGTGTGCGGCCTCTGGTGGCTAACTTTACAAGTCTCGCGAGTATGAACAACAAATATGGCGACCATTGTTTTGAGTTTCTGTTTTATTTGAAAATAATTTATTTGTTGAAGTGCATATTCCAGAACCTCATTTTCCCTGATGAAAAAACTCGAATTATTGCATGAACTTTTATTGTTTACAATGAAGAAGCCAGTACCTACCTTATAATAATATAATATACATTTTCTGAAGCACAGTTAGAATCCTTGTATTAAATGTTGGTTGCAATGATTTGATCTTGAGAATTACTCCAAGTCTTCAATTGCTGCAATTGCTGGAGATCCTTGTTTATGTAAATCGATGATATTGTTCATTCTGAGCAGCCTCTCCAACCATATCTTCTTTTCCCAGCCCCTTCACTAGAATTCCATCTCCATCATAAAAGCCACTTGATTAATTCAATTATTTCTTCATACCTATACCATATTGTTGTGATAGCTGATTGCTTTTATTGTCCATTCCAGTCCATGCAAGTGTTGAGTGGACCATTCCGACCATTTCATATGTTTGAAAACTGTGGAATTGTAGTGTGATATCAATGATGAATACCACCATTGTCCACATCAATATGGCAATTTCTCTGCACAAAAAGTAATTTTTTCCATACTGGAAACCTTGTACGTATTTCACGAAGTTAACTCATTATTCACTATTTTGCAAAATGATTTCGAAATAACCAATTTGCAATGAGTGCATACGGCAATGTTTTTGTTGTTCATACTCAGTTTGAAATTTGACGTTGATTTGACGTTAAATAGAGCCATCTATTGGTTCGTGATTTTCGCGAATAGGTCGCGTGCACGATGACCGACCCTGGAGGCAAAATATTGGAACACAACCTCATTCTTCTGTGAATTATTGAAACACAACCTCACTTTTTCATTTGTTTACAGAGGAATCAAAAGGTTGAAATAGTTTTTCACAATATTTTGGCATACGAATCGTGTTTCTTGCGCTATTCATTAATTCAAGCATGCCTTCGCATTGTGCTGTTGTACAATGCACAAAAAATGCAGCAAGAGACTAGGGAATATGATTTTTCAGGTAAATAGTAATCTTGCATAGTTAGCATTATGAAATGTTGTCATTCCTTATTAAAATTCCTTCTGCCTTCTGCCACTTCTGCAATACAAGCTAATGCTGCTAATAGATTGAAAATGTCTACAACACACACGATCGTCAGCATGTCAGACCAGTCCTACCGATTGATTGCATGAATCCAATCTTCTTGCATTATTCTAGAAATTTCAGGTATATTTCTATTAGCTGATCCTATTGCAGAAGGAATTCCGATGAGAAATCAGAGAAAATTTAAAAAATGAAAACTATGTGAGTGACTATTATAGTAGGTACTTACTTTTGAATCATAATGTACCATCCGGATTTCTTCATCTTCCGCTGCAGTTTTTGTGCATTTTAGAACAGCACAATGTGATGGCATTAGCGAATTGATGAATAGCGGAAAAATACGATTCATATGCCAAAATAATTGTGGAAAACTATTTCGATCACTTGTAAACAAATATGTTTTGCCTCCAGGGTCAGTCATCTGACAGTTCTTGCACGCCACCTATTCAAAGGATTTAACCTGTGGAGTGAAACTTCAAAGCTGAAAGCATGTCAAAATGAAAATATAACCTCACAATTTTCAGCACAGAACCACAGAATCACTAGAATTAATCCAGTTTCACCTTTTTCTCACTACAACACCAGATGAATAGCAAGCTCAGTTGGGGTGAGGGGGAACAAATAGTCTCAATAAGTTCTTAAGACAACTCACATCAGACTAAGATAAATGAAACATGTAATACAACTGAGCTATTGAGCTGCACTGAGAGTCTTGGTTAATCTCAGTCAAAGTTGGTAAAAAGAATATTACTAATGATAACCGTCAGGGTGGGCATGAATTAATTCATATGAATTAAATCAGTGATTTAATTCGTGAATCAATTCCATTGACTTTTTTCGAAAAAGTCATGAATTCATTAAAATTTTTAAAAATGAGACAAATTGCACTATTACCTACCTTTGATTTTAACTAGTTTAAACTGAAAAATTCGATCGTATTTTGGCAAGACTTTCTTACTTCAAGTATGACAGAGATTTTTACTAACAGATATATACAGTATCAAGGATCATCCATAAAGTCCATAACATATGAGAACAGGTTTATTATCACAACATCGAATTTTTTTCTCTCGGCGATCCATTATGCATATCCGATAACTTGAAAATCGATTTTGACACATGTCACGTGATCACTGGTATGGTGATAAATACAAATAATACTATAAAGCGACGAAAAGTGGGGTTAGATCTCGGGTTAGATAACAAAATATCCATAAACATTTCTTATTAAGTTGCTATTCCACATTCAGTTTCGAGCAATTTTTGGAGGAGAATTGGAAATAGCTATATTTTTTCGAATATTCTTCAATTTTATTACAATTCTCTTTTTTTTCTGACAGTAGTGATGTTGATGATGTACAAGTTGAATAGGATTCAATTTCATGCTTACATCGAGTTTCCAGCCATTATTTGAGAAAACTGAAAATAGGTATTTTTATTTTTTTTAAATAACTTCATCTCCATATCTAACCCCACTTTTTGCCATCGTAATTTTTTGAATTTACCGCCATACCAGTGATCAAGTGACATGTATCAAAATCGACTTTCAAGTAGTCACGACATGCATAATAGATCCCCGAGAAAAAATGTTTCGATATTCTACAAATAAACTTTTTCTCCATGTGTTACGAACTTTATGGATGATACTGGATCTATATGTATCTATTATTTTGTATTCTATCATCACTTTCAATTTTGTTTTGAAAAAATGACATGTTATATTATGATGTTATTCTACAAGATTTCTGAAGGGAATAAAAACATAGTTTTTTGTTTCTTTTTTTCTATTTCACTTTGGGTAAATGAAATTTGTTTGTTTTTTTTTCAAATGAATTAGGTAATTCAAAAAAGTCTCTCTGCATATTATTATTATAACAACCCAAATAATCAAGTCGACTTTTTTTGTATTCCTCAAATAGAATCATCACTCAATCATATTTTTTTAGAATGTTTCGGTCGATTGAAAGGTACTAAAATAATCAATAATGCCACGAAAATTTTCAAACGGCTAGAAATTTTCCGCTAATAAAAACTGACGTCACGATTTCGTAAGTAGGGGCAGACCATAGCCCAGTTGCCATATGTTGAAATACGATTGGAAACTTCGGAAATATTAGTTATTCAATAATTAATTCATAAATTCTCAATTATGTATTGGTAATATTCCTAATTAACAATAAAAAATCTATTGTCTCGAAATTTTCCCTCATGTGTTGTGGTTTATTGCTTATGATAAATTTGTGAACATAATAGTTATATTATTTGACACTAGAGGACATTTGAACCGATACACGTGACAACACGGCGCCCGAATTATGAGCGTTGTCTTGTCAGTTCTCAGCATTCAGTACTAAACATCTTTTTGATAACTTGATTATAATTGGTGCCTTGACAACCTTCCTCATCATGAGTGGGAATGGAAGATTATCTGACCAATATTTCGAACAACACATAGACTCTTTATTTACATAAAAAAAGCGCGACAAGAGTTGCAAAAATTAATTAAGGCCCCTATAACGACACAGAGTGCAGTACCAACAATAATTCCTTCCAAGTCCAAGAAGACCCAAACTCACCGTTCCGCTTGAAACTCCCATTAACCATCGGCAAATCGTGATCCGACACGTGAATGTCGATCTTGGCCTCGGCGCTCCTCAGCCGCTTCTCGTCCTCCTTGGAGGCGGCGCCCCCCTCCGCCTCCAGCGGCCTGAACAGCGCCCCGAACAGGATGCACTCCAGCACGACGCCGCCTATGATCAGGATGGAGCCCCGCCAACCGTAATCGGTCAGCAATCGGGAGATTATCGGGGCGAAGATGAAGGTGCCGAAGCCGGAACCGCATACCGCTAAGATGATTAGAAATTATTAAATGAGAATATTTTCTTCCTATTCACGAATTTATAATCAAAATGTTAACAAAACTCTATAGTTATCGAGATATTTCACGAGGAAGTTCGAAATAAGGTGGATTTATAAACTTGAAGTTGACGTTGCTGTTCGCTGTTGCTGTTGCCGTTCAGGGTTAGAATATATCGAATGTTAACTGTCATTCATAAAAGCCGTTGCTTTTGACCTTCTTTTGACGTTGGCAGTTATGTAAACATTGGATGTCGTTCACAGATAACTATGTTTCAACTTTGGCGGTTGACGTTCAGTTACCGTTCAACCGTCAACCAATGAAACAACGACAGAGAATCACGTGGTATACAGCCTCAAGTATTTGAGGTTATGGTGTATGCGCATTTCACATTTTTACCACCTTTTTTTCCACTTCTTTATCAACTCGGTTTCTTGTCTGTTTGTTTGTTTGTTCGGTGTCGGTACGCATTATATTTTTATTGAATTCAATCATGGACTCCCAAAACATTGGTATGTTTTCAATAATATGTATGTCTGTGCATAATATTGAATTTTTTTTTTTAGAAGACAATTCATGCTTGCTGATAGAAATTAATGAAATGGGGTTATGTTATATTTGAGCAAACGGCCACTCTATACATTAGACAGTTGAACATCAGACGAACTGAACAGTGAACGGCAACGTCAACTTCAAGTTTATAAATCTGCCCCGTCCTTTACCAAGTTCAAGATCGCATGACAATTGACCGCTACATCTCAATATCTCAATATAATATGGCAATGTAGCTCAAAATTGAAAGATTTATTTGAAATTTTTGTATGTACGATAGTGCTTCATCTTGGGGGGGCCCAATTTACTTTAAAAATTTACGGGGTCCTTTGCGTATCGGCGTCGTTCAAGACTTCTCGTAATCCCGCTGAAAGATTACAATTTGATTCTGAGGAAAGAACAAACCACATATCTCGTAATTCTACAGAAAAATCCCAACATCGTGATGTCATGAAACAGCTTAACAATATCACAATAATATAACCCAGCGAGCACAAACATCCCTGTAATGTTTTGGGATGTTTTGAAAATGTTGGCATGAAGATGTTATTTTGAGAAGTAATATGCACTGACCAAAGAGGTCTTTGAAGGATATTGAAGTATTGTTTTTGTTCTTCTGTGGCATTTGTTTGTTTGCCTACTGAGAGGTATCCCTGGGATGTGTTGGGATGTTTTTTTGAGGCGTAATATGCACTTCCCAAAGAGGTATTAGAAGGATAATGAAAGTATTGTTTTTGTTCTTTTGTGCCCTTTCTTTGCTTGCCCCACCGCAACGTGTCATGCTTACGTCACAATACGATGAATTCTGATTTGTTTTCGATTTTGTTCTTCTTGTTCGCAATTGGCATTCGCGTTTGCAGCGTGTCACGCTTACATCACGCTGCTAACGAACAGAAAGGAATTTGGTGAAGTTTATTGTGTTAGAAGACCTATTTAGTTTGTAATAATGACCATCAGATGCAAGATGGGTTGTTCGGTGCCTCAGTGTAATCAATATATAAAAGTACGAATTCATCAATACACAGCTTCTCCACAGTTGCAAAATTATGCATTGTGGAGAACCTTTCAAAAATTGGGAAACCTATTTCCAATTATATGTCTGTGTGTAGTAAGCACTACTCAGAAATAACCGATTAAGAAGGTAATTTCATATCTAGAAAAGATTTGTATGTTCAATCTATTTTTAATGCATTTCTTCATTCAAGGGAAATGGAATCCTAATGCAAAAGTTCATTTTGACAAAAGGCTTCAGAAAAATACCTCGAAAATGTTTTTTTTTTACAGCGATTTAATGTGCGCAAGACACGTTGAAAATGTTTTGTTGTGTCCATGAAAAGGCTTTAAAAAGAACTACGGAGAAGGTAGTTTTGTGACATATCAAGGACATCTCGATAATTGCCGCCTGCGGCGGACATTGGCTGTTCTATAATAGTTCTATTCATGTGTGAACAGAACATCGCAGTGGAGGTTCAATATCTCAAAATCTCGTTCTTTTAACATCTCTGAGATGTTTTTGTGCTCGCTGGGTATAACGACCGCCGGCCGTTAAACACTCTTAACGGACGGAGGCTGTTACAATTATAGCATTTCAATTGTCATCTGAATACCGTTTAATGAAAATATCAGTATGGGGTTACAAAAACCCGATATCACGAAATTGTAATAGGTATAATTATGTTAACTCACTATAGTGGGTTTGAACTGTCAGATAACTAAGAGATTTGATATTTGATGCATCATATTCATTCATTCAAGATACAATCGAGGAAATGATTAGAAATGATAAGGTTCAAGTCATTGTTCGAACAATTACTACTAACAATAAAATCAACAGTTTTCATTGTTAGAGATGAAATCAACGTTACCATGGTAACTCAGTCAATTTTTCGAGGAGATAGGAGTGACAGACTATTATTTGGTCTCATTTATGTTATCATGCACAGATAATTTATTTTTGGGTTCGATCATATCATTTTGCATTTGAGGAATATTAAGAGAGCTGTAATATTAGACAATGAACCATCCCAATTGAAACATATATGTCCTGAATTATACAGGAATGTTTATTGATAGCGTATTCGACTGGATCACACTGACACATGACACGGTATAGATGCGTATTTAGCACTGCCATGACTTCGGACAGAATTCGTTTAGTTCGAACCAATCTAGAGCAGATTATCGAATCATTCTGGCACTAAATAGATCAAGTTCAACATTGACATTATGAATATTCGACTGGTATGTTTAGGACAACGTGCTGTTGGATCCTAAAAGGTTGGATTAAGCTAGATCTAATCAAATATCTTACCTCAAAATTGACAAAGTGTCAAATTATTTCTTAAATTTCGAAGTATGGAGAGAAGAATTATCCGCGACCTAATGAAGTATAGAGATATTTTGTGAATAATCAGAGGTTTCGATGATGATTAGTAGGTACCTACTATACAATTTTGTCATTTACTACATGCAAATACCTCGTATTGAAGACATCCATTTCGATGCTTGGTATAACTATCAGCAATAACCTTTCTTGGGAAAATCACGTGAGATCAATTGCTAAAAGTGCATCCCAAAAACTTGGTCCAGGAACTATTTCACTTCCAGTTAGCTGCTGATGATATATAAGGCACAGATCCGACCTGTCCTGGAATACTGTTCCCATATTTGGAGTGCAGCACCCATATATACCCTGAAACTGTTTGATTCTATCCGAAAAAGGGCAATTCGTCTCGTGGGTGATGCCTCGCTCACAAACTCACTCACTTCTCTGGAACACCGTGGAAAAGTTGGCGATCTGGCTCTATTTTATAGATATTTTCATGGACGATGCTCTTCTGAAATATCAATAATTGTTCCTCCCTTGGCAGTCCCCGCGAGATTAACCCGTCGAGTTGAGGCTTCGCACCCCTTCGTGGTCACTTTAGATGCCTGCAGAACATCTCTTTCCAAAGACTCGTTCATCCAACGAACAGCGAGGCTCTGGAACACATTGCCAAGGGAGGTGTTCCCCGAGGCATATAACCTCCAGAAATGTGAGAAGAACACCAATTCCTACCAGATTTCCCTTGGTTCTCACGATATTCTCTGAACATTACAGGATATCCCTTTTCGTGGGAACCAGAACATAAAATGATTCCAATATTATAATGCAATTTCTGGGTATCATTAATTTTCTGCTGTCCTGTATCACCCTACTTACTTCGATTTTATGAATTCAGAAATATCATTATTATACTACAGGGTAACTCACGTTGCCGCTTCTATCGAAAAGTAGCAACAACTTTGTTATTTTAAATGGAACATCCTGTATTTTATTGCATTTTAAGATTCTCTCTGAAGAGCTGATTTCATCGATGCATCACACTTGGGGTCTAGCGGAAATGATTACAGAGATATAGGGTGTGAAAAATTGTCATTTTTCAACTTTAGGAATTTTTTTTGTCGAAACTATTCATTATTGGTCAAAACGGCTTACATGTCCCTATCTCAACTTTTGATTAACTATCTACTGATATTTAATTGGGACATATACCGGATGATCAAGATTCTGAATTCTGCACGACCCTGTATTTGTTTCAATTAAATGTCAGTAGATAGTTGATCAAAAGTTGAGATAGGGACATGTGAGCCGTTTTGACCAATAATGAATAGTTTCGACAAAAAAAAAATCCTAAAGTTGAAAAATGACGATTTTTCACACCCTATATCTCTGTAATCATTTCCGCTAGACCCCAAGTGTGATACATCGATGAAATCAGCTCTTCAGAGAGAATCTGAAAATGCAATAAAATACAGGGTGTTCCATTTAAAATAACAAAGTTGTTGCTACTTTTCGATAGAAGCGGCAACGCTGCAGAGCTGAAAATATTTTAGATCGATAGACCAAGAGCAATTATGTCCCGTTCTCCATAAACGTCTAACGTACCATCGACCGTGAGTTACCCTGTATATCGACTTATAGCTACCATCACTGTTGCTCGACAATAGGGAATCAATTGCCAATAGTTTTATTACATTCACTTCGAAATCTGAACATAACAACGTAAATGAACACCCAATATCTTTCAACATTTTTCAGCCCGTGACTTCTGCATGGTCAAAAAATATTGTGCGAAAATATTCGAATTAACAACGAGTGATTTTACAAGTCGAACATAAATTTCTGATTTACCCTTGAGTAGTTCCTGTTCAGCCTAATAGATATAATATTGGTACTATCTGAGTGCATACCAGTCGAACACATACGACAAAAGTTGGAATTGAATGCGCAATAGTGCAGCCAGTCGAATAGGCTCTAGAGTTTTACCAACGATAAGTATATTGAATGTCGGATCATGCACTGCTGGATACATCAGCACATCTATGTTTCAATCATTTTGCAACAATGAAAACTAACGGGAAAGTAGCCCGCGGGCGCTAAAGTTCCACTTTACGCCCGGCAAACCAGGCGATAAAGTACCACTTCACGTCCGGTCGTGCACAAACTCCCTCAAAATCGTTCTTACCGATTCCGGTGGCCAGCGATCGCTTCTTCTCGAAGTACGTCGTCACACTGACGATGGCGGGCAGATAAATCATGCCGAAACCCGTGCCCGTGCCCACGCCGATGGTGAGGCACAACACCAGCACGCTGTTCGCCCAAAAAGAGACGACGAGGCAGGCGGCGGCCAAGATGGCGCCCAAGATGGTGACCGTGCGGCAACCCCATCTGTTCACGAAGTAACTGGACAAAGGACCTGACGAAAAATTTCACGTTTTCTTTTATGCCACAGCCGTCTCAAAGTGCTCAGACATCCTGAGAAATTTGGCAACGTCGCATTCCGAGAAACTCTCGGTATTCGCGAAGAAGAAGAATATTTATTTGAAATAGGTGACCCTAATACACAAAAAACTAAATAGACATATTAATAACACTATAGATATTATAAAAATTTAAAAAATGTATTGACATTTTTTCAAGTTTGAAAACTCATCACACACATATATAAGTTATTAAAAGATTTACATTGTAATACAGAAACATATGAAAAATAGGTACAGCTCTAATACAATCGATATAAAATAAGCGTCCATTTATCGGAGTTTTTGAAAACTGTCAGTGATCTGTTTACTCTATTTTCATTGATTCGGATATGTTTTTTGTCTGTGCTTGTTGGTCACATCAGTCAGATGGCACGACGTGTTATTTTCTATCGCGAAAACAAAGAACAGTGTGATAACTGTATTTTCTTTCGGTTTCTTTGGTTTAATGAAATCAATAATTCTGGAGTCTTTCATGAGTATTGATGTATGAAAGATTCATTTATAATTTTTTTTGAGAGAGTTTTCACTAACTGTCTGGCTGAGAAAATGTACTGAAATAATATATGTTTTAACAAAATGGACCTGACGAAAAATTGATATTTCTTTGGATATGAAAATTTGCAGGGTGATTCACACGTTTTGGCCGTCCTGATAGAGACTTGGCATTGTGGCAACGTCGCATTCCGAGAAACTCCTGGTATAAAAAGAATAACGTGATAACTGAAGTCTTCATTCTTTCATTCGGTTTCTTGAGTAAGTATAATGAAATGAGTTATTATTCTGCAGTCTAACATTGGTATTGATATACCGGGTGTCCCAGTATACCTGTTCCAATGAATTATCTCAGCCATTTCGAAAAATAAAAATTCGTAAAAATCTCATGATCTCCAATTGGTTCAAGGAAGCTTCAACTGGTTTGACCCGAAGTAGCTCTAACTTTTTCATTTCAAATAGCACCCTGTATATTTTTTTCAATTTTTTTATTTCTACTCAAAATTACCGTACCAACGATGTATCACACTTCGTATTTTGAATTTGATTTGATGGAGGAAACGACAATTGAAATTTCAAATTGAACGAATTGCAGTGGGCTACGATATTTTTGTAATCTTGATTTTGACTTCAATAATGATTTCAAATTATTAGAATTGTAGTAGATCATGTAATTTTCAAATTTTCATCTTTCGAAATGGCTGAGATAATCTATTGGAACAGGTATACTAGGACACCCGGGATACGGAAGGTACATTGACAAATTTATGATGGAACTGCAGTTTTAACTAAAAGGTGGATTCATGCAATTTCAACTAAATTATGAGGAATTTGAGATTCAAGCTGTTCAATTTTCCAGCGCGGCTAGTTATTATTTGGCGCATGCGCGGTCGTGAATTATGGAAGAAATTAATTTCTTAGTTGAATGTTGGCCATCTTTCTTGGTTTTAATTTTAGTTTCAATTTTTGAGTTTCTTGCACGAGCACCTACATTACATTTCATAGTTTTATATTATTGGTTTGAGTTTAAAATTCATTTAAGTTTTAAATTTTGCTTGCATGAATCCACCTAACTGTGATCGAGGCTTTTAGGAAATTTCTACATATGGTTGGAAAAATGTACCGAGCTTAATAATACATGTTTCAACAAAATGGATCTGCAAAACTTTTGAGATGGGGACAATTTATAACGAGGTACTTATTATTGCAACTGGTTTGATTTCCTTTCAATGAATACTGTTAAGACTGATGGTCTCTGACACTGATGCCAAATCTCTTAAAGCAATAATCGGGAGTTTATGGCTTTTGCTATTTTGTTTCCAATGAATCCTTAATCTTGATAAGGACAACTCAGGCTTAAAAAATTGGCACGAATTTCGACTCACAGATTTCCACTCGAAGTTTGATATTTCATATTAAAAATAGCTATAGGTACAAGTCTTATGATATGAATGAATACAATTTTTTCTGTGACGGGAAAAAAGTTTGGCATTTCATCTCTGTTGGCAGGTTATAAAATGTCACTTTTCATAAATTACTTTTTTCCCGTGGGAAAAAAGTGAGTACTTCTTTCCCGGATATATATCACATATATATACTCTGTTAATGGCTTTTGTTGTGCTATAGTTCCGAAAAATAAGTCAATAATACCGTCTCCGAGAAAGAACTGCAAGTCCTTTTATCTTCCATTCGACTTCGCGGTTTCGTATATTACTAAACAACTACTGAATTCGCAATTTTTCAAAATCAAATCACAGAATTGAACTGACAGAAGTGACATCAGATATTTGATTACTTCAAAAGAATGATAAAGATGTCTATAAAACGCAGGTGTCCCTACTGTTAAAAACTTGAAATTTCACGTCGATAATTTTCAGATTTCGAAATAATGTAATATCTTCCCAATATTGATTCGTCCTTCCTTCTGTCACACAAAAAAATAGTGTATTATACACGGGAAAAATATTAGATTTTAGCTCACGGTTTTTTGTCTCCCTCCGCTACGCGTCGGGAGACAACACAACCTGGAGCTAAAATCTACTACTTTTTTCCCTTGTATAATAAATAACTATTATTGGAAAATAATTGAGATTTTTTTTTACCTGAGCACAAAGTGACACCGACTAGAATGGATGCGATCCATGATGTTATGCTGCTACCCTCTTTGAAATATTCTAAAAATTCGTCGTAGAAAATGCCAAAAGAATACGTGACTCCATCAGCTGAAAAAAATAATTATAAAAATTATCAAGATATGCCTATGCCAAATTATGAACGTTCTCTAGGATGATAAGGAAAGGACAATAAATTGGGGTCAAAATGATTCTTTACTAATCAAGATTGACAAATCTATTGACACTTTTTATTATTATATGAAATGAGATATTTCTTTATCGGATTACATAACTCGATAATTCTAGGCCGTTAGTGTGATGGAAAATTGTCTGGAAAATTACGAAATTTGAGATAAGATAAAAATATAGCCTATGTGAAGATTAAGTAGAAGAAATTGAAGTAAACAATAATTCAAGATGCAGATTCGTCAAGCAGGTAGGTAGGTATTCATGGTATTCTTGAAAGATTGTCGAGGTCAAATAAACAGATAATCTCACAAAACGAGAAAGCATTAATTGAAACACGATGCATAAGATATATTCAATAAAATACATTTCAGTTGTGTAAATGAAAACACTCCACATCATTATTTCCTGCTACAAGGTTAATAGCTGCAACCAGATGAGCTGAAAGTAAACAGAATAAGCCTGATTTCTTATCACGATGGTTAAAACATTGCTTATCCTCATTATTAGCAATATAAATGCGAAATACGAGACAAATAAAATCGAATTGCAAAAATTAAGACTGAAATCACATGATGAATCAACTTCTGGTAGAAGTCCATTTCAATTATCATAAAATTCAGTGAATAAATTATCTACAAACAAAGACACGATCATTACCACTGTATTATGAATCATTGAATGATATGTAGTATACTACACTATATTGTGATGCGCAAAACAAAGGCAAAAAATATCTTCAATAATAGGTTCCACGAATGCAAGGTTATGTCATGTCATACCTACAACCCTATATAGGTACCTTGCTATTTGTATGGTTGTTCAAAGACTTTATTTTCAATATTAATTCTATTTTCTGTTCAGAAGTTTTCGCCATTTATAAAATATTTTCTATGCAGAATCATCATCTCCTATAGTAGTTTCATAAGTGTTTTCAATCACATAGTTCATTCAGATTATCAAATCAATAGTTATTTTTAACTCAAGTATTTGACCGATTATATTGGTTGATGATAATTTGAAGAGTAGGTATTACTTCACAAAGTGTGTAATGGTATTAACTAATTACCCTGTATGATTATGGATTAATCCGTGGATTTCGTTCGAGCTGTTATCATGAGGCCATGAAAAATCAGAGTCTATATATTAATAGAGTTTGTTTATCTGAGTAGGGTATCATGGTTCAATCATGGTATTAAATGATATGCGAAAAAACAATGTTTTCCAATCATATTATAAGCCCGCCTGTATTTAACAATGAAGGTGCCATTGTCTTATACTATTTTTGAATTCTAATTATAGCTATCTAAAATTCGGAATTGGGAAGCATCAACCTATTTGTGACTGCATATAGAACGGAAAAATATCATGCATTTGGAAAAATACGCGTCAACTACCTTGAACGAATTCACAGGAAATAAAAATTAATAGTAAGATTTATAAACAGCGTGGGAGAACTAATTACCTTGAAGATAATTCCATCGTGCCAATTTCGTTTGAAAAATAATAGGAATACTTGTTGCTTAAGACACGTGCGTTGAACATAGTACATAAAAACAAGCAAATTGTAGTACTTTCTTGATATTTCTGGTCACTGTCAAATTTTTCAATGCAAGATAGGAACAAACCCATCATCCTGTGTATGTGTATTAAAATATCTGAAACACTGATCTATGAGGAATGCTTTTCATATATTATTCTTGATATTTGTAGCACCAATTTGGCACCATCCTGAATTCTGAAATTTTTGGGTAAATTATTCAAAAATACAACTTTGCTTGATTGATTCATGTGAATTAAGGTATGTTCATGCTTGTATACGAATTCCGCAAAATTTATGCGAATAAAATGGCGACTGCGAAAATCGCAATGAAGTTGAAATATTTGAACTTTTCTACGAATTCGGATGGAATCATAACTACACAGTATGTATCAAATGTTTTGTTATTTTGATAACATCAAAATTGGGGAATTAGGGAGCGGACAGCAGAGTCCGAAAAAAGACGAGACTAGACAGAATCATAATTAGGTATAAATTTCATCATTTCTTCATTTGATTAATTTTTTTCCATGAATTCTCTGGACGAATTAATTTCAATGTATCATTTGTATCATCTTTATAGAGCATTTTTAAATGCCGAAAAACTTATGGAGATCATTACAGCCTCGTTCGATAAAAACGACTGACCCAAATAAATATTTCAATTACTTTAGTGTATCGTGCCTTCAATTTGATGAACTTGAAATGAATGAAATGAAATGCATATAGGTACTCACTTATGACGTGAATCATGAAAGAACCAAAAACGACCATCCATCCCCAACCACCATCGGGGGGTGGGGGAGCTGATTCGCTTTCCTCTTCTTCATCTCTCCTTTTCACCGAATGCCCAACAGACATACTAACTGTAATAAGAATTACAATTGCATGTATGAGGTGAAAGCTGTCATTTTTTCAAATGACATATTGTAAGACAATGACACCAACAACATATTATAATATATGCCAACATTGAGATACAAAACAAATTATGTTTGACCAACCTACCAAAATTTTAAATTATACAGGGTGAGCCATAACTATTGATGAGCCATAACTATTGATGTGCGCTCCAAGCGATAAAAAAAAAAAAAAAAAATGTGACATGGGCTAAGAGCGGATTGTTTCGAGGATTGCGTTTGGGCCAAAACATGGAGATAAAACAAAATATGGAAAAAGATACAGAGCGTTTCAATCGAAAAAGTATTGACTATAAACTCGCACCAAAATGAATTCACTGACAAGAAATGTAATTCACCATGCAGCAACAATTATCTTCATAATGAAATAATATTTGAAATGCCCTTTCGAGACTTTGAATTGTTCAATTGCGTGTTTTTCGAAAACAAATCGTTTGTGAACGAAAGAGTACCAATATTACGTCGAAATGATGTTTATATCATATTCTCTAATCCAAATTACTGAAAAGTTTCGTCAAAATATAGAATAATACATGAAATAATATTCCCTGTATCAAATTATGCCTCTTTCCGGATTTTGATAACAATTGTTAAATATATACAGTGAAATTATTAGCAAAAAACGAAAAACAAAATTCAACTTCAACGCCCTGTATCTTTTTCCACAGCGATATTTTATTGAAGCATATTCGGTCCTATCGCCATATTTTGGTCCAAACAACCTGCCCTTAGCCTATGTCCCAATAGTTATGACTCACCCTGTATAAAAGTCGATATGTACAGTGTGTCTCACTTGTATGGAAGCAACCCTGTATCTTGCGTAATTATTGTTGAGTTAGGATTCTGAAATTTGCAGGAGCGGGAGATATACCAACAGTAATCAATTTGACCAAATATGGGGTCATCTTCAGTGATATAATAATATACTGCTCGCCAACATCCATTGAACCACCAATGATGATATTAGGAGGCATGATTGGTTGAAAATCACTTCGGATTCGAAATCAGGACATCAAATTCATTGATTATTCATATTTTTCCTGAATAATGTTCAGTTCTGAAACATTAAATTTTGTCTTTCTTTCGAGCTCACTTTTCATTGAAACACCCCCTTATCTAACGTAATCATTGAGGTAGAATGCTGAAATTTGCAGGAGAAAGAAAGAGTCCAAAGATAGAGTCAATGACGAAAGATCAGGGGGTGCTTCCATGAAAAATGAGACAAAATTTGATTTTTCAAAACTGAGAAATTCTCAGGAAAAATATGAATAGTTGATGAATTGCCTCCTATTATCATTTTCCGGAAATGTGGGTGGTTGCATAGCTGTTGGCGAGCAGTGTATATCACTGAAGATGACGCCACTTGGTCATAGTGTGTATTCTTGGTATATCTATCGGCCCTGCAATTTTCAGAATCCTAGAGATCCAAAGTATAAGTCTTAATTAATGTTTAACAATGAACAGAAATAAATCTACCTTACTGGCAGGTTTTTTTCAACACTCTGTACACAGCGTGGCCAGATTTTTATATAATATATTAGTTTCGAGAGATAAGAGAAACTTGCAGAATGAGAATACTTTTTTTGATGAACAAAGGGTTAACATTTTTTTTTTCAAATGTCAAGATTTATTTTTTGGTCCGACGAGCAGCACGAGGGACCATTTTGAAATCACACATTTTCAATCAGAACTTCAACGCCCTGTATTCAAGTTGAGGTGTATTTTGGATGGTATGTTCATTGAGAAAAATCCTCAATCACCTTCCCAAATTATTAATGCACATAAATCTGGATCACCCAGTATACATAGTATTTGTTTAATCTATGATAATAATAATTTTTATCAGTGTATTGAATTAGGATAGTTAGGTACATACATACCTACTGAATATACCTACTTTATAGGTGACCTCAATTTCAATTTGAAAACAGAAATGGCTACTTGTCAAGAAAATAAACAATCCACAAAAAAAACAATTAGAACTATAATAAATATCACGATAATAATAGCACGAATATGTGAATATGTATTCTAGAACAGCTGTTTGAACAACAAAAAAACAATAGATAAACAAGGGCATCAAAGTTGTTTACTCATTTGTTCAACTGACAACGTTTGATCTGATAAAAGTACATGGTACGAAATCACGAATTCGTGATGTTCATTGAAAATTCATAGGATTGTTCATATAGGTACATATTTGAAAATATAAAAAATCTAATGAGAAAGAAGCATGAAAAGAACCTATTCCTGCATTTTGGGAAAACCTGAAAGAAACTGAATACTAATTGTGAAACAATATAAATGATTTTTTTTTTCATATAACCTTTGCTGAGAGATATAATTCCCATATCACTGATACGAATGATTTTTTTTTTGAAGTTCCAAGCTCATCAAGATCAGAGTTCATACAAGTATACTTCTCCTATACATTTCAATTTTCATTTCAATACTGAACATATTGGTGAGTTATATTTTTATCATAATAGGTACATCATATTATTCTATTCGATTTGAAAGATAATGTCAATTCTCAATTTCAGATGATTTTGATTTGTCATGATCTCTTTTTGGATATTCAACAGATATAATTCAATGTTCGACATGGCAAATAGCCAGGAAAGTAGTTGTTTTCTGTTGAATAAACCTGATAAAGAATTAATATTATCATTACATGGAGAATGCGAATTCTCAATGATCATAAATATATCTGAGAATATTCCTTTTCAATAATATAAATGAATGAATAATTGAATCGAAAGGATTCACAAAGAATGGCAGTAAATGTTCAGAATAAGTTTATATGCCCATTATGATAGTTTAGTTACGACCTTGTTCAACCCTATATCTGACTCACTTAAAAATAGAAATAGTATTTTTAAAAGTCCGAGCAACAAAAATCTCACCTATTGCCTGCCAACTGCGACCACTTCGTAAACATACAAAAAAACAAACAAACAAACACAGCCACTCAACTCATCAGGCGAATATATTCGTGAAAGAGTCGCCCCACACACCACTCATCCCGAGACGTGGGTCCGTGATCACTAACCTCTCTTTCAGAAGAAAACACTCGAGCACGTGCTGCGAAACGTGAGGAGGAGGAGAAGAGGAAGGGGAAAGTGCGGATCTAGGCGGCCACGACGCCAACGGCGATCTTCGACTGTCGCCGATGGCGGCATCGCACTCCTGGCACGCCCGATCTGAATCCCCCTACTCCAGCGGCATCCCTCGCTTATCTGCGACAATGGAAAAAATTACTAATTCTTTTCGATACGGCTGTTTGTTACAAAAGTTTATCTTTGCGGACTATCGGATGTGGCATATTTTCTGATATACAACGAACAAAACACTATGATTACTGGATATAAACTGCTCACAGTTCGAAATGTTCATGATTTTCATTTTTATTATGTATTGTTTGATAATTATATTAATATGTTTTGTTGGATTTTGAAAAAAATTAGATTTTTTTTCAGTCGTCCTTAGCTATGCGCGTATCTACAGCATATAGTTTTTTGTTATTTTTAAAGATTTTTTGTGGCTACCTGTTGCTAATTTTTTACACATGTACTTTTTTGTTGTTTTACGTATTCCACATTTCAAGCCAATCGGACAAGCCGTTTTGTAGTTGACGTACCAACAGCAGCGCTACTTAGCGCGTCCAATTGTTTTTTAAAATCATCCAGGAAACCATGGAAATACCCATATAAAATTTCAACCCAAGTCATATTTGGCCAATCGTTTTGATTTCAGGATTCCACATTGCTCTGTGCAAAATTTATTATGAATCACCCTATATAAATCTCATATTTGTTTCCACGTCTGGTGTTCCACAAGGGTCTAATCTGGAACCTTTACTCTTCCTACTATTTATAAACGATATTTGTGGTTCCATTTCTCCTCGAAAATTACTGTATGCAGATGATATGAAGATATATAGAGAGGTTAGGAATGTATCCGACTGTTTGTCATTGCAAAATGACTTGGCTTCTCTGAATGACTATGGTGTATTCGAAACAAGCTTTATCTGAATATTAACAAATGCAAGGTAATGACTTTTTCTCGAGAGGTCGAATCAATTGAATATAATTACACTTTAGATAATACCATTTTATCCTGTGTGTTGAATACTGAAGATCTTGGTGTCATGTTTGATAATAAACTGACTTTTTCTCATCATGTTGAAAATATTGTTGATGTCTGAGTCTGATGCTATTGAAAGTCATTAGTCAGAAGTAAACTTGAATATTGCGGCAATGTCTGGAACCCGTGGAGAGCTGCAGAACATCTCTTTCCAAAGACTCGTTCATCCAACGAACAGCGAGGCTCTGGAACACATTGCCAAGGGAGGTATTCCCCGAGGCATATAACCTCCAGAAATTCAAGAAGAACACCAAATCCTACCTTATTTCCCTTGGTTCTCACGATATTCTCTGAACATCACAGGATATCTCTTTTCGTGGGAACCAGAACATAAAAAAAATACAGAGGGTTTTTCTGAAATATGAGCTATCATTCCATATCATCCTATGTGTTTTATAAGCTATAATAATACCATAAAAAGAAAAAAAATATGTTTTTCAGTTTTTAGCAAAAAAAAGTATACCAACGCTTTTACGTACCATTCCAAATCATTTCACTGCTATTAAACGTATAGCAATATTGTCGATGTTACTGATACTTTCGGTGCTTTTGACCTCCCGAATGTAAACGCCATAGTTTGGCTGTTAACATTAATTATTAATATTTTTTCTTGACAAAAATGCATTTTTCCATACGTTTTGTTGTTCCATCTTCTATTTCAGAAACACATTGGATAATTTGATTATGAAATAAAATTATGAAAACGTTTCTTTATGGAAGTTTAAAATTATTCAATTTGGTGAAATTGATTATTATATCTGTTTACAACCAAAGGAAAAATATTTATAATAATGATTTATGACCATTTGAATAATGCCTATTTCATTGTGACTAGTTTATTTTGGATGTTTCGATAAGACCTCAAACAAGTATTGTAATTTGGAAATAATGCGATTTCGGGATTGAAATAAACTACAGGCCATTGACGAAGGCAACTCAAATGATGTTTATTTTAATATTGTGCATTTCATCACAACAGCTGACCAATATAACCTTCTGATAACGATTATACATTAATAATATGATAATGAATGCTATTTCTGGAAGGTCAAAATGTCGTGCATTTTAAACTAACTATTTACGTTCTCTACAGAGCGATCCAATAGACAGCGTAAAATGAAATCAGATACCGGGTGGCCCATCGAAGACGATCCGCCCAAGTTTTCTCCGTTGTGTTGCAATTAATGAAGAACCGCTCGGACAGGTCGATTTCAATTTGGTGGGGGGACACATTTTTCTGCAATTATCATATTCCAAAGTTGAAACCTTGACGCGTAACAGGGTGTTCCATTTGAAAATCGGAAGTTGATGCCCGTTAGGCTGGCTTTAAGGTTTCAACTTTAGGATATGATAATTGCAGAAAAATGTGTCTCCAGCCAAATTGAAATCGATGTTCGAGCAAATTTTCCATCAATTGCAACACAACGGAGAAAACTTGGGTGGATCGTCTTCGATGGGCCACCCGGTATGAATTAAAGAAAGTCCAGAATTTGTTACACTATTTATAACTTAAGAAAGGCTGCACCGATTTGGTTGAAAATTGTAAATTCAAGATGGCTGATCCAATATGGCGGATCCAATATGGCGGATCCAATATGGCGTATTCGATTCTATTCAAAATTGGTGTCTGGGAGTTCTAGAGATCGGAGATTTTGGTTCTTTCGTGAAAACTAGGAAAATCAAGATGGCGGATCCAATGTGGCTGACGAGTTTTGTAATTATAATCCGATTCTATTCAAAATTTGTAAGTGGGAGTTTTTCCGGGATCGGAAATTATGATTCCTTCGTCAAAATCAAGAAATTCAAGATGACTGATCCAATAAGGCGGACGAATTTTGTAATTATGATCAGGTTCTATTCAAAATTTTCATCTGGAGTCGGAGATTATGATTCTTTCGTCAGAATTAGGAAACTTAAGTGAACTTAAAATGAGTAGAAGATAAATTGTAGTTTGAAAAACTAGAGAAACACGCTTTCATAGATAGCCAAACTAAAAAGAAGTAGAAAATGAAATAATAATAATAGTGTGTTGATTAATATTCAACAAAAACAAGGGATAGCTAGTGTACTAATAAATACTGTCTACTAATAAACAAATAATTAACATGTTTATGGAATTCATGAAACAACCTTTTATACTTTTCATGATAGTAATGTCAGTATCTTTTTGTAAATCATCACACAGGACATCCAGAAACATTTATTCTATCTTTTCCATGTACGATTCTCATTTTGATATTATTTTAATCATTACCAAACTTATTCACCTTCTATGTGTCTACTCCAATGAAGAAACAGATTAAGTATAGTAGAATTTCTTGAACAATGGATTACTCACAAACCTTAATATTAATTTGAGGTTGTACAATTCACAATTCGCATTGTTAGATGGTTAAAACAACAAACATTGCTTTACTGAAAATTCACAAAAATGACTTATTCTCACTGACCTTTAGCAACAAATTATAAAAACGTCCACTACGACAAGTCTCCTGTTTATTCTGAAACCAACGACCATCGCACCGAACTTCTCAGTTTCCCAATAAATCATGTCCTAGTTGAGACATCACCACGATATTTTCATTCCACTACGTTGCACCAGGCGACTTAAAATCGATGAGAAATTTGTTGGAAGCAGACAACTATCGTTAGGGCAAAGAAAACATATCGATTGTGGTTGCTTAGAAGGATTAGGCGCGATTTTCGGGAAAATAATACCGAATGCCAGCGATAGCTTGGAAAATGTTACACCGGTAGCTACGTTTTGGAACATAAACATTAGTATAGGAGCAATTGGATATCATAAACTAAAGCAATCCAGAAGCTTTAAATGAAGCAATAATATTTGATGAATTCAAATAAGTTTTAGAGTAGTGAACGAAATAGATACTTTCTCATATTATGTACGTTAGGTTTTTTTGTCACCTTCGTATCCTAAATGACTATTATAGTACAATTTTGAAATTCACAGGAGCAAAAGTTTGTGAAGATGACCAAGTTTGAAAAATCCTTTTTCGACAGACTTCTCATTGAAGTCCCCTGTATCTTTCATAATTATTGAGATGGATTCTGAAATCCTCAGGAAGAAAGATATTATAACACTTGTTTGATTCTTTCATCTTGAACAGCAATAAAAATACTGCTAGATTGCTAATTTCAGCAATATTTCATCTTTTACCAATATTGTATAACTCTGTATAAATACATATCAATGTTGTAGATAACTTAGTCATTGAGTATAATCAGGTATAATCATATAGCTCCTGTAAATTTCAGAATTCTACCTCAATAATTAGGTACGAAAGATACGAAGGTAGTTTCATGATAAGTGAGACACACAGTAAATATTCACTGAAATATCGTGAAAAAATCAATTTTATGCACTACAATGCCCCTAACATGCACTATACCTAAGGGTACATTACATGAGGTATTTGTATATCAATATCATGTGACCTCGGAATCAACGTCAATGGGTGCTTCCGTTGTACCCAGACTTTTTCGAATTGATGCATATTTTGAAAACAACATAAACAATAAAATCAAAATCTTTCCGTGAAACAAAACCAAAAAATTAAGAACAATCATCGAAATATTATACAGGGTGTCCCTAAAGGGTCTGCACAAAATCTTAGCACATATTCCCTAGGTCAAAATAAGCCGATTCAAAACAACTTACCTCAGTCTGAAACTGTTCAGATTCCAAGATACAAGGTGGTCAAGTGAAAAAATGAAAATCGACAAGTACTCTCCAAGAAAGTATTCTGAAAAATCAATTTTTGCACTGATAATCAACTGACCAAATTACATCCACGAAGGTACCAGCAATTATTTTTTTCGAAATAATTTAAATATTCCGGTGCAGCATCGAACACTAAAAACCGGACTTTCACAAAAGTACTAACATTTTCAAACAATTATTTCCTGAACGAAGAGAGTGAGAAACTACACTAAGAAAAAAGCTATCGCCATTCTAAATCATAAGAGGTGGATTTGTAGAAGCCCTCTAATGGCCACAGTGAAAAGGTGTTTATTTTCGGGTTCCACATTCCTAAAAACCCCTGGTTACCAATTCTTGAAGTGATACATTCAAAAATGTTCATAAAATCTGAAAAATTCGGCTTCTATTTTTCAACTTTACCACCCTGTATCTCGGATCAATTTCGGACTGAGGTGAGTTGCTTTAAATCTGCCCATTTTGACCTCAGGGAAACGAGAGCAGGTTCGTTTAAGAGACGTTAGAGGATGAGAACAGTTTCATATTTTTGCAATACACCCAGATTCTTACAGAATAAGGTGTCGATGACTAGCAATGAAGGTTAATTCATGATGCACGACCTAATTTGACCCGAATCTAACCCTAATTTAATTTAGCTATTGACATCAATAACCCTGAACAACAGCTTAAAATATAAAAGTTGGACAACTTCTTAAATTATCCTTAATTTCTCAAGTCAGCTACATGAACCGATGATATCATAATCATATAGGATTAAATTCAGGCTGAATAAGTAAGTTTTAATCGCAGGTATATTGAAATAATGATAATATTTTTATTAATAGAGACGAGGAAAATAAAACCTTGAAATTCAGAGAAACGACACTTGAACACCATATATTTCGAAAAAAAGGCATGTACCCAAGACAAACTGACGGAAGTTTTGAATCGTCTCACTTTACGTAAACAGTTGTGCAGTTGTGTCAAGAAAAATATTGCATAACTGGTGATGCAATGTTCATTTCAACACCAGTGCGTGATAAAAATATGAATGGACGAAGATAATTATGAGAAGATATTCAGAACAAAGTGGTATTTAGCTAGACTATTCACGTTCACGAAGCATAAAAATCATTTATTATAAATAAGTGATTCATTCTGACCAATACAGCCATAATCATTTTGTGTCAAACTGACAGACTTTGCTTCGCTTCCCTTGGTTACATCGTTGAAAACATCAACGCTGATAGACCAATGAGAATTGAAAGACAGCTAATGTTTTCTCGATAACCACACGTTGTCTCTGGCTTGTGATTGGTCAGATTATATGATGAGTCCAAACAGTCGGTAGAACTCCTGTAGAACTGATCATTATATCTTTTCAAGTGAAATATTTCATCAAAATTTAAAAAATATATTCTAACGGGCTAGGAAACGTATCCTGTGTAATTCTGTGTTTTGATTCCATTGGTTACGTGAATATCTATTAAACTTTCTTCATGGCGTAGCTCCATCGACAAATCGGTGAATATGTTTATTCACCTTTTAGAATGTCCGTAGGCTCCCCGCCTATCTAAAAACCCGCAACGCGCATCTGGCCCCTCTTTCTCTATCTAAACATCAATTTGCCCAGCTGACAGCCGACGCCGACCGACGTCGACCGACGCACGCGCTCGCCGCGCCGCTCTGCCGTCTCGGCGGTCGACCCAATCGGCCGGGAGAGATCGCGTTAAATTTAATCGGGATTTCAGCCGACATAACTCTATTAGGTCTTCAGCTGGGCCGCCGTGTGTATATCGTCGATCGTGTTAACAACCTCGTTGGAGCCCGACGGGGTCGATTGAATGGAAAATATTGCGCACGATGCCTCGAATTCGAACGAAACTCTATTATCCATATACGTTGTATAGGGTGACACGTGGAAAAGTATCATCCCCATATACTTTTTTATTTTGGACGGTAGACTAGGATGACAAATAGTAGTTCAGAAAACTAAAGTAACACCCTTCTATAGATAACCAAACTAAAAAGATTTAGAAAATAAAATGATAAAAGTGTGTTGATAAATATACACAACATAGTAAATATTAGCACCACTGTAAATAGTACATTCTATGTTATATTTATGTATTTTTTCACCACTAGTTGTAGAACCTACAATTATTTACTCCTTTACGAGGCGTAAAGTGTGGTTTTACTACCGATAGTTTTCGTCATTTTATGAACCACTAGTCAATAATGACATTAGCCACCTCTGTTATAATAAGGATTCTAATGCGATATTTGTAGAGATGGGACTCGGATCTAGTACGTACATATCAATAACGACTATTATTTTGATTAGAATTGAAGGGAAGTGCATTCATAGTGACAATAGGTCCATATTTCAGTTTCACAGAACGATAATGATTGAAATATATTGCATGTGGTGAAAAAAATTTAATATACACCATGGTAGTAAAGAATATCATTACCACGGGACCTTATACCCCTCGGCTGAAGCCTCGGGATATAATCTTGGTCCCTGGTAATATCTTCTCAATTTTGATTCTTCCTTTTTCCTGTCACAAAAAAATAGTGTATTATAGACGAGAAAATTATTAGATGTTAGCTCACGGTTTTTGGGAGCTAAAATCTATCTACTTTTTTCCCTGGTAAAACCTCCTGAAGAACTTTCCAAAAATACTGTACTCAATACGATCATCTACATTATAATTTCTCAAATCCATTATTTGTTAGAAAGCTCGTTCGACATATTAAATCCGCCATCATGGCGGGGGAATCATGATTTCCGACCCTGAAAGCCCCCAGATACAAATTTTGAATAGAATCGGATCATAATTATTAGATCCGTCATCTTGGATTACAAACTTTTGACAAAATAATCATAATTTCTAACCCCGAAAATCCACAGATATCAATTTTATATAATTTTCGAAGCGCCATCTTGAATTTTCCAATTTTGACGAAAGAATCATATTCTCCGACCCCAAAAATCCTTGGATACAAATTTTGAATAGAATCGGCTCATAATAATGAAACTAGTCCGCCATATTGGATCCGCCATCGTGAATTTCCCAATTTTGACGAAAGAATCATAATTTCTAACCCCGAAAAGCCCCAGATACTAATTTTGAATACAATTGGAACATAATTACAAAACCTGTTCGCCATATTGGATTCACCATCTTGAATTTCAAAATTTTAAGCCCATAAATTCATGATTCCTCTCTTCGACAAGATCCCATAATTTTGAAAATTGGATTATAACCTATCTGCTAACTTACAAAATAATTCGAAGGGAATGGGAATTGAGAACATAATACATAATACTATGCAACTGAAATGGCTTGTTTACTGACCTTTGACGTACTAGATAAAAACTCTTCGATTCGCTGAGGTGTCGAAATTTTCGATTTCTCAGGATTTTATCCATATTCTGATTGCCTAATTTTGCTCACATGAACATTGTGTTTGAAGGTTTATTGTCATGCTTGGCATAGAATGAATTGCCCACAAAGATGAGAGCTTTATTTTCACCCAGAGTTCTTGGAAACAGAAATTGTCTGAACAATTCTGATTGCAAAAAATTCGAAAACGACAGTTGACAGTTCCTACAATTGACAGGCCGGACAGAACTCGATCGACTGAAGCTGTGTTTAAAGAACTCTGTTGCCATGGTAATGTGTGTTGCAGAGTGAAGAAAAGTAAGGAGAAACTTTCAGTTGAACTTTATTATAAAATATTCTGACACCTTGTCATCAAGTTATTAAACAAACTATACAGATTGATATCATAACAGCGTTGATAAGTTCAACAATGTGTTTAAGAAATTGTGTTGCCATGATAACGTGTTCAATATTTTTTCTACTTACATAACTAAAATGACATTTAGCGTACGGATATGTACCACGCTAAACGATCGATTGATCACGGATTAACGATCTGTGATTTCTTCAAAATATTAAACACGTTACAATGGCAACACGATTTCTTAAACACATTACCATGGCAACACAGTTCATTAAACACAGCTTCAGTAATTTGAGACATGTCTGGCCTGTCAATTGTATCAACTGTCAACTGTTATTTTCAAATTTCGTATCAGAATTATTCAAACAATATTCGTTTGTATCAGAATTATTCATTAAAATTATGCGAAATGTAGACGAAAGTGAAATCGAAGAGAATGTTCTGGTACTTGCAAATCTTCAAGAAGTGTAAAAATGAAGCATCCATCTTTGAGAACAATTCATTCATTCTGCGCTAAGCATGACAATGAACGTGAAACAAAGGTTAGTAAGCAATGGACTGGACACATCTACAACCATTTATCACTTATTCGTGTCTCGCTGGTTGCATGCAGTTTCATGTATTATGTTCTCAATTCCCTCATTTCTTTCGAATTATTTTGTAGGTTAGCAGGAATAGCAGGTATGTTAATGTAATTTTTGGAATTCGTAGAAAAAGCATAGTATGTAACGCGTTTTTAAACTCTTTTAGACACTCGTTTATTAAACACTCGCTCCGCTCTGCTCCGCTCGTGCTTGAAATACTCTATGACAAGTCGTTATATTGATAAATACCTACTAGATTCGAGTGCCATTAGTACGAATCTTGCATCAGAACAGTGAATTCCAGTTGATTATAACAGAGGTGGCTATGTCTTTATTGACTAGTGGTTAATAAAATCACGAAAACTACCTTGGAAGCAAAAACACACTTTATGCATCGAAAAGGAGTAAACAATGGTAGGTTTTATAGCTAGTGGTGGAAAAAAGAATTTTTCATCGACCCAGTAGTTTCGGAGCCTATTCAATACAAACAATCAAATATTTCCTCTTTATAATTTTAGTATACCAGTATTTCACCTGAGGAACTACTGTGATAGCGAAACATGTCATGTGATCAAGAATTTTGTGGAAATCTAAACCGATTGTGAAGTTTCTTTCACATTTGAATATCAAAATCATGTAATCCATCACCCTCAACTCTCACCCAGATTCCTGCAACTCTAGGAAAGCCTCCCAAGCACCTGGCGCCCTCTACAATGCACCCTTCACCCCTTAGATTATGCGCGTGAAGCTTTCGCGTGGAAGCTCCGAAAGCTGCCGCCGTTTCAGTTTTCAGCTTCAGTAGCAGGGTGGGCGACGCACAGACGACGCACGATGACGATCCCGACTCTTTCAGCCGTTCTCATTGTTCTCGCGTCGGGTTTGCATTTTTCTGCTGCCAGGGCGGTGAGTATATTGACATTCGCTTTGTATAAAAAAAATGTATTATTAAGAGGGAAAAAAGTTATAGATTTTAGTTTTACTCGACTCTTTGGGATTTTCTCTCCTCGTTTCTATAAAATAAATATATCCGTATTATTTCGATATATTTGTAGTGGGACAAAGCAGATGATTTGCCCCAAAATGTCACTGCTTTTAACAAATTTTTCTATCAGAGAGTCTGAAAGAAAGATCCAGTAGCTTGAAAAAAAAATGTGTTAAAAGCAGTGACATTTTGGGGCAAATCATCTGATTTGTCCCACTACAAGTATATTGAAATACTACGAATATATTTATTTTATAGAAAAGAGGAGAGAATATCCCAAAGAATCAAGTAAAATGAATGTACCACCTCCTCGATTAACCTACAGACAGTATTTAGTTGATTTTAGCTCAAGAATGTATAATACAAGGTGTATCTGAATAACACCAAAAAATTTCAAGAAGTGATTCCTTGTGATATTCTAGCAAATAAAGTTCACATAAACATGTGTCTTAACTTGCTCCATTTTTAAGATACAGGATGTTGAAATTGGAAGTATTAACTGTTTTTATTTACAACCCCCCCTGTATAAGCTTTCACGGTGCCAAAATTCAGTATGGTTGAAAACTGAGAAAGTCCCAAAATTTCAAAATGATTCTAATTGGGGTTATTAAGTGATCTCAATGGAAGTCTTGAAAACACGCCTACAATAACATTTGAATTCAAAAAGAATTTTCACTGTTTCCTCAAAAATTAAGCTAGATACAAAAATTACACACGAGATAAAAAAAGTTGTTATTTCAATAGTTCAATCTAATAAATAGAATATTATGTAACAAGTGTTATAAACGTCCTTTTAGTAACGAGTATTTTAAGCACGAGCGGAGCAGAGCGGAGCGAGTGTTTAATAAACGAGTGTCTAGAAGAGTTTATAAACGCGTTACATAATATGCTTTTTCTACAAACTCCAAAAATTGCATCAACATACCTGCTATTCCTGCTAATCTACGAAATAATTCGAAAGGAATGGGAATTGAGAACATAATACATGCAACTGCATGCAACCAGCGAGACACGTATAAGTGATATTAGTTGTAGATGTGTCCAGTCCATTGCTTACTAACCTTTGTTTCACGTTTATTGTCATGCTTAGCGCAGTATAGATAAATTGTTCTCAAAGATGGATGCTTCATTTTTACACTTCTTGGAAATATGATGCAAGTACCAGAACATTCTCTTCGATTTCACTTTCGTCTACATTTCGCATATATTTTTAATGAAGAATTCGGATACAAACGAATATTCTTTGAATAACTCTGATACAAAATCCGAAAATGACGGTTGACAGTTAATACAATTGACAGGCCAGACATGTCTCAAATTACTGAAGCTGTGTTTAATGAACTGCGTGGCCATGGTAATGTGTTCAAGAAATCGTGTTGCCATGGTAACGTGTTTAATATTTTGAATAAATCACAGATCGTCAATCCTTGATTAATCGATCATTTAGCGTGGTACATATCCGTACGCTGAATGCCATTTCAGTTATGTGAGTAGAAAAAAGTATGAAACTCAGAAAAACCGGTGGCGTACAATGACATTCACCATAAATATCGATGAATTTACCCACTGTGACGACACTGGAAAAATTATTTCGAATCTAATTGCACCAGAAGAAGCCTCATATTACTATTAACAAAACTGCTTTTCCCAATTTCGTATGAGGATATATAAGCTAGGGTAGTCACTGTTTCCACAAGAAATTGTCTAATAATAATATGTCGAACAAATCCCCATCAGAACTCATTTGTCTATAGAACGGCAAAACTTTGGAATTCTTTGCCAAAGGAAGTATTTTCAAGAGCTTATAATCTCAAAAAGTTAAAAAAAATCCCAATACCTACCTCCTCTTCCTATCCTCCCTAGATACGCACGATGTTCTCCGTGTGTGCCCCATGAGATAAAACAAACTACACTCAAATAACATTCATTATATAGGGTAATACATTTGCAATAGGTTATTTATCATTGTTTAGTGATGGTTCCAGATACCATATATTATTTTTTCAAATCGATAAATTCTCTAACTCTGTAAGAGTAGATAATATTGGACAAATGATCCCTACTGCAGTGTTCCACAAGAATCTGGTCTATTTATTAAATTTCAATAAACTTGAAAGAATAAGAATATCTTCAACCCAATGAATATCAATCAAGATTTGCTTAGTCGAAATATTGTTTTAACCAATCCACGAGAATATTGAAGTAATTCTAATTTATGGCGAGAGCGCTAGAACTTTGATAATATTCATTTGCGGAATATATTAAATCCTTTCGTGAGATGTGAGATGATATGTCAACAAGGAATACTGGAAAATTACGCATTACTTCTATTTACGCAATCGATTACTCGAATTTCAATAAATGGTGAGAGCGCACAAATATAAATCCACCCGTTTATTCAATGAAGTTTGTATAGACTCGCACTTGGAGACTATTTTTTATTCGTACATAAAACAAGATTGGAGAATGTTATAGCATAAGGTACGTTACACAATTTTGAGAAAATCATATGTACCAGATTTAAATTGATTATACGGAACATTTCATCAACTTTATAGAGAATACTCTGTCATCACATAAAGCTAAATAACATAAAATATGAGAAGTTTCGAAAAATCACACATATTTGTAATAAAATCCATGATACACGCTGACACGAAAATTTTAATAAATGGTGGGAGCGAGTTAACGCATCCACCAATTTATCAAATAAAAAAGTATAAGTCTATATTGGAGAATATTTCAGCTCGTGCATCAATGTAAAGAGGTGTAACTCAGAATCCACCAGAGAATTTTGACAGAATAACACTCTCATGAACTAGAGGATGCATTACTTTTGAAGAGCACAGAAAAATGCTATTGTCGTTTGCCAAAGATTTGAAGATTAAATTATTAACTACATTTGACGAATACTTTCCTATGCTCACATGAATGAAGCTGGATAATATTCCACAGCACATCGAACATTGAAAGATTTGTTTTTATCACAATATTATTATTGAAATTACAATGAATGCCAATTTATGCAATAAAAATTAGTCAATTGTGAAATGTATAGAGGTGTTGTATCAGGATACATTAGAGAAAATTACGAACTCATGAACCAGAGTTGTACAACAATATAGATCATACATAGGATGAATCCATCAGATTATCTATCACCTACAGTCGAACAAGCTAAAATATTTGAAGACAGGTAGTAGTGTAATATGTACTTCATTGGTATGTATATATTTACCAATTGGCCATCGACCTTAAGAGAGGTCCTTCAGCCCATGTGTGTTCTGTGTAGGCTTTGTTACTAACTCCATACGCAAACTCAGGAGCAGCACTATTAATTGAATCGCAACAGCGAATCGTGCGGTATCAACTCCGGGCGAAGCGACGAAAATTAGAATTCATAACTAGTTTTATGAATAAAAATTTTCTGCTCTGCCAGAGATTCATACCTAGAAACCTTTCGATGTTCTGATTAGTATAGTCGAGTCGAGCGCTTGAATCACTGCGCTATTCCGTCGCCTTCTTTCACGACTTGTTCGAAGTTTCTGAAAATGTATACCATACCAATTCATAGTTTCAACTAATGGCGGGAGCGCTGAAAATATCCACCAATACATGGAGGGCTCAGTGTAAGTCATCAAATGAGTAAAATGAGATAATTGGATATTTTCTAATTATTACATATGGAAAATACCACTTCTTATATGGGTTTCAAACGGAATTTTTATTGGAAACAAATACATTATAAAGTATTTCCCATTGGAACTGAGTGAAAATTACAGGAGTTTTTGAAAAAAGAAACAAAAAAAAATTTCTTGAGTTTATTGTTCACTGAAAATTGTCATGATATTAATCTATTAATGCATCACTATATCACTATCATCAGTAATTTCATTTGCTGTTGAAGCTGAATTTAAGTGTTCTCTTGTTTATTGTAGGCAACATTTTCATAATGAATGATAATTACGTGGAATGTATGGCAAGAGATCAAGCATGTGCTTCCTTTTCACTTCTTTGACAGATTTGTGGTTTATCTTTGCCATATGCCAAAAAAATCCAATACCTACCTCCTATCCCTATCCTCCCTAGGAACGCACGATGTTCTTTGAACATTATAGGGATTCCGTTTCGTGCGCTCCAAGCGATAAAAAAATCAATGGTTAGATTATGAAAATGATGACTTAATTGTATCATCAGCAAAAAGATTGGTCAATAAAGAACAGACAACAATACGTAAGTCATTTTTTAAAGAAAATGTTGACTTACACTGATTGGCTTCTGAACCCTCCATATATGTCATCAGTATAATTTAGAAAATTATGCATAACTGGACTTGAGATGCGCTGAAAGAACAGAGAAAATATACCCACCAATACTTCTGAAAAATATGGAAGTTTACCCGTGAATAGATTGAGCAAGAAAGTGAAAGAATTGTCAGGGAAATGAGGAATAACGTACCAAAAAATTACGAAAACGAAAAACAGATGACTAAGGGAATTCAGTAACAATGATATAATCTTCTCTATACGGGGACAAAGATTCTAACTAAAATGAATGAATGGTGGGACTGATTCAATGCATCCGCCAAATAATCGATTGAAAAAGTACAAACATAGATTCAACGAATATCTTCCAAGCGGACATGAATCATTTTTATGGAAAAATAAATGTCGAAATCTAGTCTGTTTGTACGGCCCTCGAGACCTCGACAAATCCATGTAACATTCATCGTGCCCTATTCATGCCTCTATCAAGCGAACGGAATGCAGCAGTTTGAAGGAGAAAAAGACGAGCACTGGAATTAGAAACGAAAGCTGTTTCGGAAAGGAGATTTCCTTTTGGCCGGATACACGTTGAATTATGTATGAAATCAAAATTTGCCGAGGTGCTGTTTGTTTGTATACGAAGGACGTCCAAAAAT